TATGTGAACTACAAGACTTGCTAAGCAGCTCTTGTTTTTAATATGTTAGTTTGGGGCTCGTTTTATATAACTATGCCATTAATATAATTAAGTGTAATATTTCTCAGTTTAGAACTTCAGATTTTTTTCTTGTATTTTGACATATTTTTCATAAGACACTGCCAAATAGGATAGCACCAGTTATATTTTCTGTCAAGTAATATAATCCTGATTTCAATAAAAACTAGAAATCCACCATTTCAATTAACAGTAGTCACAAAAAATGTGGTATAAGTGCCATCTGCTAACCCAACTATAGCAATTAGCTCACATTGTGTACCCTGGGAATTGCTGTCGTTATGAGTAATGCAGGTGCAGAAACAAGGAAGTAAACTAAAATAATTAAATGTATATACTGGTAAATAAGGTAAAAGAAATGATAAAAAAATCAGCATTTATCAAATGATAAAAATAAAAGTCATTAACAAGAAATTTTATTTTTCAAGACATTTAGAGTATAAGATTAAATAGAGATGCAGAGGGGGAAAGAAAGGAGCTGATTAAAATGTTTCTTTCTCTAATATAAATAATGTGGAAATCCTGCTAATTTATACAAGTTATTGAGCTCAGTACAGGAGTAACCGGGTAAAATTGTATAAGTTATGATACACATGAAGTTTTTTTCTGGTAAGACTGCTCAGCGTGAATTATCTGAGTTGTTTATATTGAAGTTAATTCTGAAAAATATTCAGAGAATTTGCTAGCTGCTGAAAGCTTCTAAATATTTGTGTATGTTGTTTGCAGTGTCCAATTCTGAAGAACTATATCTTAGTATAATAAATTTAAAATAATTTTCAAAGTTGCAAAATGCAATCATAAGCAGTAAAAGTGAAAGATATGGTTAAACTTTGTGGCAAGCAACTTTTCTTTTCTTTTTCTTTTCTTTTTCTTTTCTTTTCAAAAAAGTCCAAATAACACTGAATCTAATTTCCAACACCGGATCTAATACTATTAAACTTTGAATTGGAACATTTATGCTGTGTTAGGTATAAAACAATCACTCTTGGAAAAAAGATTGTGAAATACAAGGCTTTTTTGAGGACCAGAAGCATAAAGAGCAAAGTTTATATAGTATTTATATAGTACTTTGTATTTTCAAATCACTTTTTCTGAGAGAATAATAAAGAGACTGCTTCAGTCATCTTAAATAATTTGCTGTTTTCTTATCTCTTCTTCTTCTTAAGATTTTAGCACATACATATATATAGTGAAAACTCGTTCCTGTTCAATAGAGTCATAGTAAGTCTGTGCCAGACTGGAAGTAGTTTCTTCTTCGAGAGATGATCCCTCCGGGTATGCATTGTGGGTGCTCATGTGTTCCATACTCCTGAGAATATAAGATTTTTCACTAGAAGCATCCGTTGGTCTGCACCTATGCTCTGCACCTTCTCATGCTCCAAACCAAGGGCATAAGGGATGGCCCGGACCGACCACCTCTCCTGTTTCTTTCTACCAGTCGTGGTGTGACAAAATCTCCTGTGTGCACAAGCTTTACTAGCATTTCTCATTCTTTTCCTCCTCAAACCCTACAGTCTCATGAATTCCAACTCTGTAGACACTTGGAGCTTTCCATGAGACCCATTATGATCTCAGGCCTTCTGGGTGGCCAAGTAGTTTCCCTCCAGCCCCAGTGCTCCCTAGCTCCAAATCCTCAGAGGTCAGGCCCACTGACTAGTCCAAGCATAGACATGAGGAGGGTAAGGACAAGCAGCCTCATATGAAGTGGGAGAAATTGCCTCCAAGTCCTCAGAGAAAAGGACCACCTCCCCCATGTCCTCGGGGTCTGGTGAGACTCTGTGGCCTGGTGGGGGGGTGTCAGGCGCTAATGGGGAGCATGGGTCTATGTTTTGGGTACCCAGAGGCAAGGGTGCTCCTAAACCACCTGCACGAGGGGCAGAACCAGCCCCTGCATCAGCAACCTGAGAAGGGAATAATCTCCTTTACTGATAGTACTGCACTGCTAAAAGATGCTCCGCTGTCCAACCCAAGTCCTCATTGTCAGCTCCACCCAGAGGCACACAGTAAAACATATTGGATGTTTTCTCACAAATACAACATCTGCTAGTACAATTTCTCAGAAACACTTAAAGTGAGGACCAGAAAATCCTTCTGTTGTTTAACAACTTTGTTTTGCGGGGAGGGAAGACTGGCTATCCGATTTTGTTTTTCATCCTTCATGGAACTTCCTAGAGAAAAGGCATAGTGGGGAATGAATCCGGAGACCTGTTAAATATTCAGGAATAGTATTGAGAGTCTTTGATAATAAGTCATGAACAGCGGGAACTTTAGCGTTTCAAAATGGCACGGTGAGGACTCTTGCCTGACAATTTTTTGTGCTTGTTATCCCAAATCTTTGGTGTCTCTGCATGTGGGGAAACATTTACACTTCTTGAATGAATGCTTTGACAGCCAAACACATTTTTTTGTAGTGAGTGTGAAGGACAGGCATTTGCACAGTAGAAGCAGCAAGAAGCATTAGCTTAAGATGCAGACACAGAATCATTGGGTATGGAGAATTACTGACTTAAACGGGCATTTTTCAGTGCAAGGTTTTTATTATTGGATTTTTAATGTTTCCTATTAATCTTTTGACATAAATTCAAGGAGACAGATGCCTGTTTAGATTTAATTTTATTTTGGTTGACAGATGTATTATTAGGTTCTCTTTTTATGCATCTTCATATCTGAAGATGGTGTAAAGTTCAGAAAATTCAATGTGCTGGTTTTTATCGGAAATTATAGCAGTGGCTTTGACACACCCCAGTGAATTTGATGGTGTCATGCTTTCTTGGAGCTGGGAAATGCTCACCCTTACATATCCGGGGGTCAAAGGCACTGATTAAGAATGCCTACATTTGTTCTGTTTATGGAAGGGAAGTTGGCTGGTAACTACTAACTTTTGTTTCATAATTAACACTCAGATATTTTCTAATCCCCACATGATCTCCCCCAAGGATAATGGTAAGAGACTCCATTAAAATAAGAAATTATTTTCCTTCCAACCCCAACTTAAATGATGTAACCTTCTAAATTTGAAGACTCTGTGAGCATGTTAATTCATTTCTCAAATATTAACGTTTTGATATGGCTGTTTATCCTGTTAGAAAGGCCTTGTCTACACAAGCTAAAAGATGTATTTTTCAATTAAATTAATTTGATTGAAAATCCCCCTTAACATTCATGTGGACACATCTTTTAGATAGTTTGAGCAGGTAGTGTTTTAGCCAAACTGTTAAATATCTGTACAATTTTATTAGACAAAGTTTGTAAAACAGCCAGTATATAGACTCAGAGTTTAAAAACAGATGTGCAAATAATTTTCCCAAACATTTATTGTGATTGTATACATCATTGTGGGATTTGTAAATGTGAGTGAACATTTTCTGCATTTAGCAATTTGTGTGCAAATATAGTATGCACAGTCAGAATAGTACTTGCAATTGGGTACATGTGTTTAAAAAAAAATCTGAGCTGATGGATGACTATTCTGTTCGCAGACTGAAACATATAAAAACATATACAAAAGAACTTGAAGATGTTTTCAGATAAAGGCAAACTTATGGGTAGTTACCCATAATGGTATTTGTTAAAGAGAACAGGGTAAATATCTTTCTATCTTCTAATGACTGCAGATGGTAAGGGTCTCAGTATTGTTTAATAGAAAATATGTTGAGACATTAATTCCATTACTGCTTTGGAGAAGGAATCCCACTTATTGAATAACCAGTCTCACTCCTGTGTGGTCTCCCTTCGAAGTTTTGAATCACCTCCAAACTGCTTAGGAGAATTGATGCAATTGCAGTTGAAGGTATGGTGGCTGTTCATGACTTTCTTCTAGTGATGTGAGGACAAACTTTTTGTATGGATATGAAAAGCTAGAATGTGTGTATTTCATTTTACTGACATATAACTCAAGACCATTGTAAAGATATTCCTTCCTGGATGCTTGCGTGTATGTCATCTGAATTGCAACAACATTGTATTCAAGGATAACAATCAGTTCTAATATCTGTGAGTCATAAGAAGGATGGGATTTAAAAGAATGCTAACAAACTGTATTAAATGAAGAAGATATCAATAAGTAAACAGTAGCTCATGTTCATCATCCTCCCCACACCCCTACCCCACATCCCCCCAGTCATATTTTTCAAAGGCTAACCTGTGATTATCTCCAGAATCCCATTCTAGGATATTGTTTTCAAACGTCCTTAAATTAACAAACATACTGACTTAAAATACACTTTTTTTATATATTTTGTGGAACTTTCCCTTCAGCCCTGTGGAGCCCAGGTTTGCTAATGACCTTCAGGTCTGAGTTGTTGGTTTTATTTTTTTAAAGCAACAATTGACAAGCTACAATTGCTCCATATCTTTTGTTTGTTGAACTGTAAGAAAAGCCTTATTGACCCAGAAGCCAGCATATGGGCAGGGATGGTGTCCCTAGCCTTTGTTGGCCAGAAGCTGGGAATGGGTGACAGGGGATGGATCACTTGATGATTACCTGTTCTGTTCATTCCCTCTGGGGCACCTGGCATTGGCCACTGTCAGAAGATAGGACACCTGGCTAGATGGACCTTTGGTCTGACCCAGTGTAGCTGTTCTTATGTTCTTAAATTGCTCCCCAAGTAATGTTCTATTGTTTGTTAGGGAAACTGAAAATTACCTTGATCTGTTTTCTGGACCTCCTTCATCTGTTAATTTTAATTTCACTTTTCTTGTTTCCCTGAATGTCCATAAGTTTCCTATATTTTTTTAATGCTTCTGTTTCCATCCATGTACATGCTGATTAACTCTTTATGGATCTGAATTTGCTATTAGTGTGGAACTTTTTTGCCACAGTTTTCAGCTACATTAGATAGTGAAATGAAACAAAGATATGAGTGCAACATATTTGTTTAAATCATGATATTTATACGTTTTTCTTTAAACTCAACTAGTGCTGCTTCTTTTTTTTTCCTTAGCTCCAGGGCTTAAGCCACAATGTTATCTTCACTTTGGATTCTCTCTTAAAAGGAGACTTGAAAGGAGTTAAAGGGGTAAGTGTTCAGTGAGTACTTTCAGGGGAACATTTTCAGGGTTGCCTAGATTTCAGCTCCTTACTATCCACCCATCCATCCAGATTCTTATGTTGGCACTTATTGTCATCATATCTGCATGGATTCTGCTAAGTATAATTGAAGGTGTATGATTAAAATTCCACTTGGAAAATATGTGGTTCATATCTGTCTTAAGATCCGTGAGAGAGGAATATTTGAAAAGATTTAAAAGAAAAGACTTTTTAAAATGCCATTTATGATTTTTGGAATGATATCTTAATTTTAAACCTACAATTTAAAAGTGTTTATAAACCTATTTTAAGTGCATTTTCTGTTTCCTAAGGATCTTAAAAAGCCTTTTGACAAAGCCTGGAAGGATTATGAGACCAAATTGTAAGTATTCTTCATTTTGTCATAATTCATACAAAGAGAGAAAACACTTTAATGTCAGAGAAGGAAAACCTTTTACATTCTAACCTTGATTATTATGATACTGAGAATACCTGTCATTTATCTTTGTTTCGGTAGATGACTCAGACTTATTTAGCAGGTCAGTAACATTTTTGGATTTTCATTCTGGTTCAGAACTGTTCATTGTTACCATTGATGAATCTGTAAAGATGAAGGATTAATAATGGGTTTATTCTCAATGCCATGAACATCACATTAGATATATAACCTTCAGTGTTAATGGAAATTCAAGCTTTTGTGTATTCTATTGAAGAGTTAAACCTTATGCCTAATATTCCTCTGGAATAAGGAAGAAGACTGGGTTGCTGATCAAACCATTAATTTTCTAGTTGGGACTGTACATTTTTAGTTGGTATACAGACATACAAGCTATACACCATACATATAATATCTAGACATTACAGATACAATAAAACTTCTGTGGACATGTGACACAGGTTTTATAGATTAAAAAAATCTTAAAACAGCTGTTCACGCGCTCTAGTCTTAAGCAGTATATAATAGAATAAAATAGTCTGTGTATACAGAAGGAATATTAGTTATAAGAAGTGATGAATAGTCAGAAATGAAAGTAAATACAATATATTACTAAACCATACATTTGCAATATTTTTATGTGTGTAGACTAGTTGTGATGAAAAACTAATTTTAAATAAGTTTACAAGGAGAAATCATGTATCGCTCTGGGAAGCTTCAGTTCATAATGCCCCTAACTCAATGTGTGGTAGTAGTTTTATTTCTGACCCATCCCTTGGTGCATAATTCAGGCATCTGGGCCCATGATAATCTGTTACAGTCCATTCAAAGGAAGACTTGATGGAAGTGAGTTCTGGATTGGCATTAGATTTTGGAGTGTTATATTAAAAATTCAGTGACTCTTACTGAGTGTAGCTGTAGACACTGGGACAAGGTTAAAAGGATGGTTGGATAAGTGATATAAATTTTAAAAATATTTGATGTTTCACTCCATTTGTTTTATGGAAACATGCTAATGTGTGAATATGATGTAACTGGAATATGCTTTATGCAAAAGGACTCTTGTACGGTATCATATCAAAGGTTATAACCTACTGAATATATTCCTCCTATTTGTATGCATGTATCATTCTTGTATCTGAAGCTAGAAATATGAAGTATAACTCTGAGGTCCTATTGTAATTATGCAAAGTGTGGGCCATTAATGGTGGTTTAGAATCTTGATGGCTCCCATTGACTAGGACAATTGGTTGTAAATGGTTTATTTACCTGCAAACCTTCCTGTGTACATGTGGGCCAACCTTGGAAGAATGGAGACTAGGGGTTTTACAGTGACATGTGACCATGTCACATGGCACTGGAATCCATCTTAATCCTTATACTTTTCCACTGAAGAGGCGGGTGTGGGGACAAGCACAGACAAAAGATTCCTGCCTTATGCCAAAGCTATAAAAGGGGGTGGAGCAGGACAAAAGGGGCTGCCAGTCATGGAAAAAACCCTGCTTATTACCTGAGATGTCAGCTGCATCTAACAAAGACTGTACCAGGGGAAAGGATTGGACCCAGACTACAAAGGAGTCTATTCTGTGAAAGAAACTTATTGGAACATCTTTGAGTGTGAGATATTACCTGTAGTCAGTTTCTTAATGTATTAAGCTTAGACTTGCATATTTTGTTTTATTTTGCTTTGTGACTTACTTTGTTCTGGCTGTTATTACTTGAAACCCCTTAAATCCTACTTTTTATCCTTAATAAAATCACTTTTGTTTATTAATAAACCCAGAGTAAGTGATTAATACCTGGGGGACCAAACAGATGAGCATATCTCTCTATCAGTGATATAGAGGGCAAACAATTTGAGTTTACCCTGTATAAGCTTTCTACAGAGTAAAATGGATTTATTTGGGGTTTGGATCCCATTGGGAGCTGGGTGTCTGGGTGCTAGAGACAGGTAACCTGCTGAGCTATTTTTAGGTAAAGTCTGCATTTTTGGGGGCATGGCCTAGACCCTGGGTCTGTGTTGCAGCAGGCTAGTGTGTCTGGCTCAACAAGGCAGGGTTCTGGAGTCCCAAGCTGGAAGGGAAAATCAGCTCAGAGGCAATTTCAGCACATCAGGTGACAGTCCCAAGGGGATCCTCTGTGACCGAACCTGTCACAATATTATTTTGGATAAATGTCAGCAGTGGTGATTTCATTTACGATAATTAGTGTATATTTCATGTGGGGAATAATAATGTGATTTAGGGAAGCTTTATTACTCTGTTTATCTGTCTCGTTACTTACGTTTCTCTTATTCATCACATTATTTGCCTTGCTCTCTATCTATAGTTATATGTAAGCAGAAAAAATAAAAGGGAAAGAAAAGTCAGACCAATAAGAATGATTGATTGATTTTTATTAATCATACCTATATAATTTTAGCACTAAACACAGATATTTTCACATTCAAGTCTCATTACAAATATTAGTCCTTGTAAATTAGTAAATAAATATTCCCATCTTCCAGAGGAATCAAAGGCAAAAGGATTAATGTCCAAGTAAAAAATGGCATCTTTTTACTAAACTGTGTGTATTCAGTCACATCTGTATATGAAATTACTTTTTATTCTTGCTAGCTCTGGAGAGCTGTGGCTCATTCTTCCATAAATATGTTAAGTATTTCTCTGGCCCGTGCATTTTCAGTGGAATAGCTGATTGTATACATTTGCAATTGCTGGGTCAACTTCTACATTTCGTGATACCTGTGGAATTCCGCTAAGGCCATTTGGGTTGTGCAGGTGTCACTAAGAGCAGAATTTGGTGTATAGAAACTTTTCTGGTGATGCATAAGACAAACAGAACCCAGTTTGTCTATCAGATCCTAAGCTGAGTTTCCAGGGCTGACAGAAAAATATCTTTCTACTTCTTCGAGGAGTGTCCCTGTGGGTGCTCTATTTTGTGTCTTGATGCCCTGCGCTTGTAATCGGAGATTTGTGGTAGCAGTGCCCAGTTGGGCCGTGCACGCGCTGTAGCCGTCTCACACCGCTTCGAGCAGTTACATAGCGGTGCGCAGCCAACTGTCCTTCAGTTTCTTCTCTACTGCCTTTGTCTTGAGTTGGAGCGATCAGCAGGGCCCTCTCTTACCTCCTATAGGATTAATAGAAGATAGTCCGTAGTTGTTTCTTGGTACTGTTAGTTTAGCTGTAGTTAGCTACCCTATCCCTTTGCCTTACTATAATTTCTTCTATTTCATTCAAAAAAAAATTTTTTTCCTTTTACCTTCCCTATCTACTCCTGTTTCTCCATGAGGCAGACAGCTATAGCCTCAAACAGGGTTTATCCCTGTTTTTTTTCTTTAAGAGACCGACGCTCTCAGGCATGCCCAGCTCACCTAGCTTTAAATGCTGTCTGACTTGCAGACTCTACATACTGGTCTCTGATGGCCACACACAGTGTGTCCGCTGCCTCGGTGAGACTTACATTATTCAAAAGTGCCCACACTGCAGAAAGCTGACAACCAGGGCAAGAAAAGCCAGGGATCTCCAGCTTAAGCCCCTCATGATAGAGAAATCCCACAGGCCAGCCTCGGACCCCAAGTCCAGGACCACCCACTGGCCAATGGGCGCCGCCAGCAGCAGCTTCTGACAGGGGTTCTGCTTCAACAACGGCTGCCAAGGAGCCTGTTCCGGTGAAATGAGCTGTAGCTCACGAAAGCTTATGCTCAAATAAATTTGTTAGTCTCTCAGGTGCCACAAGTACTCCTTTTCTTGTTCCAAGAAAGACTACCAAAAAGTGGTCGCAGACATCCTTGTGCCGAGAATCGCCTAAGAAAAAGCAATCTCCAATTGAAAAATCTGCCCCAGTACTGACAGCATCAAGAGCGCCAGACTGTGCGGCACCGGGAACGTCCAGTACCGAGAGTTCTAGAAGAACTAAAGACCCTATGTGGGCAAGCTCAAATGGAGGTTCACACAGTAAAGTGAAACCTTTCAGCTCGGCACCCATGGAGCCGAAGAAAACCTCAGCACTGAGCAGTACAGTGGTGCCACCTGCTGTACGTGTATCTCACAGCTCTAAATTCTTGGCACCGGCAGCTGCAACTCATACTCCCGGGCCATCCATAATGCAGTCTCCGGCACAGAGCCTCACGGTTCTGCAGCAATTCATGAGACATGCAGACCCGATAGTGGCCTCAACGCCTGAATCTCCTCTCCTCGGTACCGAGGGTACCCCATCCAGATTGGTACCAAGTCAGCTGAATACTCATTGTAGATCAGTCCCTCCTATCTCCAGTGATGAGGAAGAGGATGCTGCAGTAATATATACTCTTTGCCACTCCTCACCCAAGCCTGGACCATCTCACCACCAACCACCTATAGATATGTGAGGCTGGTATAGTCACCCATGGGCACTGCCCCCCATACCATTCCCACCTAACTGGTTTGGCCATACTGGGATCCATGGACAATGTATAGGTCCCAACACCGCAGGACCTGAGCCGGCCTAGGTCCAAAACAACATGCTTCCCTTCACTAACTGTCCCAGCACCCTCAGAAACACAAGAGGAAGAGACTGAGGAACCTGAGGACAGAGCTGAACATGACACTTCGCCACCTACTCACCTCTCATCTTCTTCACCGGACGAAACCATAATGCTACCACCCACCACTACAGGGGATGATTTCAAATCCTTTCAGGACCTCTTCAAAAGGGTAGCTGAATCTCTAGACATTTTGTTAGAACAACTATCAAAAGCCCAACATAATCTCACGGACATACTTCAGACATCCCGAGCAGCAAAGATAGCCCTGCCAGTTAATGATACTATCATGAAGCCTGCAAAAATAATCTGACAGACACCGGCTATAGCAATACCCTTATGTAAGAGGTCTGACCAAAAATATTATGTGGCAGCTAAAGGGGCTGAGTTTTTATCTGCACACCCCGCACCAAACTATTTAATAGTA